TATCATCTAATACATCGAAAGAATAAACATTAAATTTATTTATTTTACCAATACTCGTTAAGATAAAAATTTATCTTTGACTTAACTATATTTATTTTAATTTATTATATTTGATTTAAATTTAAAATTTTATGTGTTTTTATATCTAAACATTTAAAATGATTGTTATACTAAAAGTGCAATATATATTCGTGTTTGTCGTGAACAATGAATAACTTTTTAAAATTATTCGATGTAAAGGCTAAAACTATATTGGGTGGGCTTAAGATGAACATCAGTTTGTGCATAAGAAGACGCGAGTGAACAATATGCAAAATCAAATGTCTAATCTTTCACTCGCGAATTCTATTTTGCACAAATTACGCGCAACCAATTAAAAAAAAATCCGCCCTACCGACGGTAATATGTCAAAAGTATTCCTATCGGAATAGAAAAAAATTAGATTGCTGTAATGATATATAAACTTTTAAAGTTTACACATACATATATCCGACATTCATATTTTTTAACGTAATTTATTGATTGAACATCGAGCTCTGTGTGATGGTAATGATGGCGATTTCTTTTGAAAACAGTCTCTATTGCAGTCCGTTGTTATTCTCTCAGTATAATTAAACGGATAGTACAAAATTCTATATTGAAAAGAGAGAAAGAGAGAGGCGAGTACCCAGAGATCGTTTTAATTTACTGATAGAATATACAGTGTGCGTCTTATAAATGTATATACATCAATAATGAATAGCGGATGAATATAAATATGCGCGATTATTGAAGTTGAAGGAGAAACTGCAAAGTATATAATAAGCACGAGTGTTTTCGATTATAGTCGATTACGCTCATTTAAAAAAAAAATCGGTTGAGAATATTTACAGTAAAAATATGTGTCGGTATATGTTTTGTATTCATAAGCACCCCAATAGCGTCTTTTGTATTGTAAAGATATATTAGATCTAAGTCCTCAATATCGCTACAATTTCAGTATATGTTGAGATTGGTTTGTTTATGTATATTATTAAAGGCAAATATATATATATATAGATATATATATATATATATATATATATATATATATATATGTATATGCATATGCATATGTATATGTATATGTACGTATGTATACGTATGCGCGCGCTATTGCAAATGTCACGCATGCATTACATGGAATTTTATTTGTTGAAGCTGGAATTGAAACTATTTTACATTATCAAAAATGAGACATATATTTATAATGAACTGTATATTTCTGCGAAATTGCTTCTTAAACATCGAAAGTGTAAGGAAGAAACTAATCAAATCGACATGTACTAATTGAACTAATTATTTATATCGTAGCCAAAGCTAGTAGAATAATTTAACACGTCCACATTTTTCCACAAGTTTTTTTTACTTCGAGTATAACATTGTTGATTTATTATGTATATCTTAGATGAATTGTACATTTAAGTCGTCGGAAGCCTGCGTGTCACGGGCCGAAAATCTAATCGATGTATATCTATGTGAAAAATATTTTTAATATTCATTACGATGTAGAGATGCGTGAAAACGCACAGTTTCAACGAAACCAAAGTGCACCATTGCATAACTTAACTCGCTTATTAATTTGTTTCTATAACTATAAGATGCATCGGCGAATCCTATATTTTCGCACAAATTATTTTCTAAATTCCTATTAATTCTCACTGAGAAGTATAGGAAAATGTATAAGAAAATAATGTGAAATCGTTTATGGAAATCAGGAGTTTTATCCTTTATTTATCGTTATATTTTTAATACTGCAAAATTGTGTGCGAGTATTTTCAAACACAGACTAAATATTGAATTAATATCACACACTTCACTGCAAATTAGATATATATATATATATATGTATGTATTTAAAATTTGCAGTGAATATATATATATATATTTACATTTTGCAACATTATTTCTCAAGTAAGTTACAATTTAAAGTAATACAAACAATAATCATGCTAACACATGCAAGAGTGACTTATCTGAAATTATAATAAATATCACTTTATTTGCACAATAATAGATAGTGATTGATTTCTAGTAATATGTTGCTCAGAATAAACTCGCATTCTTAATTTCCGATAAAGCTTCCCGAAATAGACTGAACGTTTGGCAAAAGAGAAACTTGGTGCCTTTTATTTTATAAAAATAAAGGAACATAAGCATTTTTTTCTCTTTCACATTGCATCCTAATTATGGCGAAACACATACGCGACACAAATCACGGAATAGCGTTGTCGCCGATATAAAGAGATATATAAAATATCTTTAATTTATTGTATAAGATCTATAAGATTACTGCGTACTAGTCAACACGAAAATAGCGTTAAGTGGTGAGAGAAACAGGGATTGAGAGAAAAAGAGAGAAAGTACATCGAGCACAGTATATCGAGGAGGATTTAGGATGTTTCTGTAACTGTAATGAGCTTATACGTGTAAAGATATAAAACAAAATCTATCGTCGATACCTATGTGTACTTAGAGTGTAAGGATATGGCTTTATATGGAGCGATTGTCAATTGGCGTTCTTTCGCTGTCGACGTGTGAAAATTTGACAAGCAGAGCGATTTGGATATTAAGGCTCCGGAGTACTCACCGTGAAACTCTGAGTTGACGGTGGTGACATAGGTTAAAGTGAACTACAAGGCGTGAAAAATGGTCTCGTAAGTGAGAAATGACAGCCCAATTTACGTTGCGTCCCATTTCATAATTATTTGCTTTGTGCTAGTGTTGTGATGTGCAATGTATTAAGGAAACTTGTAAAAATGGACGGATACTAAGCTGTATAAGAAATAAACTTTAGAAAGTAATATTTTCCTCTCCTTTCGACAGCTGTCAAATCGCGTGTTTTTTCGCATTTTCAAGGCTTCATTTCGGACTCAATTTACGGCTATTTATAAATATTGTGAAAGGAAAGGATTAGTATCCGTCCATTTTTACAGGTGTGCTGAAGAGATTGGTAGTCTTATTTCATTCAAACATGTTTTTATTTAAATGTCAGTCGCAATATAAATCTGGGTGTCTTTTCTCGCTTATGACATGATTTAAAGATGGCCGCGGTGACTACTCCGGAGCCTTAAGAAAGATGCATGCGAGGGAAAAAGAACATTCACGCTCTTCTGAGATGACTTTCTGTACATCCTTCCATGTATCTGTCGCAATTGCTTGTATTACCAAGCTCCAATCGCTCCAATTGTAAGTTTTACAATCGCCGCAAAAACAGGCGGATAAAAGTAGTCCGATAATAATACTATGCAAGATCAAACACACACATCGTGGTTTCCTATGTTGCGAGATAAGTATAAACACGGCCTTAAATATATTCCGAAGAAGGACAAGGAAAGACAGATTTAAGAGAAATAATTTGTGACGCTCCCCACGAGAGAAAATCGGAAAAGAGAAAAAGAAGTGTCATCGTTTTTCCTTGTGACGTATAGAAAATATTTTGATACCTCTAGATTTGCACAAATCAAGTGTCATTCGTTACCGCTTGAATAAGATTATTTTTACTGAACGCCGCTCAAAAAGAGAAAAAAAAGAAACAACAGTAAACTTATAATATACGGATCGCGAGAGAACGTAAGAATCTCTAAAGAAGTCTGTGTGAATTGTGCGAATCACGAGAAATAAATAATAAATCTATGTTTAAAACTTGTAATTTGCACGATCTTAACCTTTAATAACCGCTTATATCCCGTTATATCTATAGCATAATTTTTTATCAAATTTTCTATTTTATGAAAAAAACATTAATTACAATTGTCAAAGTTCAAGAAAAAATAATAGGCAGTTGAAAAACAATTCTAAATTTTGTTTCAAGTTGAAATTAATTTAATATTACTATTTATATATTTAAGTATTATTCAAATATCATAAGTAATTCTGTTAATCAAGATTGATTCAGACGCAATTTTGCCAAAGGAAAAAGTTGTTTTTTTTGGCACGAACTATCACGCTGCGCATTCCGTATCCGCGAATTCCGGTACAGTCTATATATATAATTATTTAGTATATATAAAAAATAATATTTATACGTATTTTGCAAAAAAAATTACACAGTCATCTTATGACGTTAATACATAAGTAAGTGGAAAGTCACCTAAGTTATATAAGTTTTATTTCGCGTTGGATAAAATTAATGATAAAAATGTTGGGTAATATCTCATTAATAGGGAAGAGCATTATTTTGCAAATATCTATATTCATCAGCATGATTTTGCAAATATCCGTATCTACCTATCTGAAGAATAATATTTTTTAATATTTTATTTTTATTAATATATATATATATATATGTATATATTAATATCGTTAAAATTTAAGTATCAGTTTTTAAAGGAAAAGTGAAAAAAAATTATACGTTAATTTTGACCAGGAGTGTGTGTGTGTGTGTGCGTACATGTGCGTGCGCGCGCGCGTGTGTGTGTATTTATACAAGTGTCGTATTTTCCCCGACTTTTTTTATTTTTTGTCTCTTTGATCCTGTCGTAACATTGTTTGATATGCGTTTAATACGAGTCTTACGAGACGAAATAATGAAAAAAAATAATAAGAGATGTTAAAACATCAAATATAATCGATCAATCGTCTAAGGCCTGACGGCACCAACATTATTTTGGATTTAAGCGATACTTGAATATTTGCCTCTTTAAATTTCAACCACTTTAGATAACTAAAGACAGATACATATTTAAGTATTGCTTAAATTCAAAATAATGTTGGTGCAGCCTACATAATTTTATGATTTTAATATGTTATTTGACAGATTTCCTCATTAAACGACAAAAAACCAAAAAAAAAGATGATAAAGTTCGCAATCTATGCAATAACTGCGGAAATTATTTTCAAGCACGTCACGGAATAATGACTCGTGTTATGATTCAAAGCGATTATTGCACTCTCGAGTACTCTTAGATATTATTCTGCACTGATTACGTGACATGATCGCATACGTAAAAAAGAGGAGAAAGCTTGGAAAGAGGACTCTTATGCGCGAGAGAGGATACAGAATATGATACTTTATGCAAAGTCTGTGATGCACACGTGTATACAAAATGTTGCTGATTCACAGCTGTAGCTGATTCGACCAATAGGGACCGACTTATTTGTCATTCTTCTCTCTCCCTCTCTTTCTCCGTCCTTTCTTTTTCCTGCATCGTCTCCCACCAATCACAATCTGTTCGGCTTCGCTCGACACTCGACGTTCAACGTTCACGCTTCGGCTCCTTTTGCGCCAAAGGCCACGGCGTGTCGCGTGATGTGCAATAGTTTAATCGTCGCGCCAAGACGGTGCAGTTGATACCTGTACACGGACTGTGAAATTATGGCACCAGCGATCAGCAAATTCGCTACCAGACGCACGTTGGCCGGTGCGGTTGCGGTTAGCACCTTGATTTGGATTTTGAGAAATCGCAGCAGGAGACGGGTGCCAAAGTCCAAGTAATTTTATTGCGCAATAAAAATTCCATCTCACGTTCACTGTACTAAGATAATCGCAACGATATAATGTGTTTTACAGAAACCAGTGGCCTGTCAGCAATGACATTCAATATATCATCAAGGAGGCAAGAGCATAATTTACATTATACCTCAAGTGCTGAGAGCAGATTACATTGATTATCCTTTCATTCAGGAGAAACCGAAGGTCCCCAAGGCGCAAGTAAACGCCGTCTTCTTCCGCAGATTGTGTCAGTTACTCAAGATTGGTATTCCTGGCATAATATCAGCAGAATTTGGCTATATTCTTCTGGTGGCAGTTTCCTTGATCGGTAGGACCCTGTGCGACTTGTGGTTGATCAATAAAGCAACTCTGATAGAAACGTAGGTGCAGTGTTTTTTTTATTAGTGATATGTAGATAAAAGGCTTCATCTCTCTGACTTAAAACCTTGTGCCATCAGATCAATTGTCAGCATGAATGAACCATTGTTTAGGCAAAATTTGTTAAAGTTCCTTGCTATATTACCAGTGGTAAGTAAGAATATATTGGTATACAATTGATTCAAAGATTGATACTCTAAATCAATTAAGATAAAAAAGATAAAAAAATGAAATTATTTGGATATTAAAATTAGCTTATTAATATTAAAGTTTAGCAATTGGAAAAGGTTATTTATATCATATTTCACATGATTGTATTTATTTAGATATCGATTGTGAACAATGTAATGAAATATGGCTTAAGCGAAATAAAATTGAGATTGCGTACAAATATCACACGTAACTTGCTAGAACAATATCTCAAGTAAGTAATTGGTATTTTTTCTATCCTCTTTTTTGTTGTAGATTTTTTTATATAAAGTGATTTATTATATAAATTTGATTTTTTTATAAAATACCGAATCTTATGCATTTATGCATAAGAGCAGCATTTTATGAAAGGCCTACTTCTTTTGTGTTTAAAAAAATTGAATTTAAAAAAACTTTTATTCAAATTTTATTTGCTTACACTCTTATTTTATACATTCTTTATTTATTCTCAATCAGCTTTAATCAGTATTTTAATAAATAAAACATCACATAATGTCAAAGGTAATATATTTGTTATGCAATGAATGTTGCATTCACGTACATGACTTCGCAAAATTAAATATTCGCAGTAGTATTAACTTTTGCTTGAATAATTCGTGACTGAGATAAATTGTCAGGAAATATATTAAATTAGATATTTAATCATCTTTTTCTACTCATGTAAGTAATGCATAATAAAATAACTGTTACTAAAAAAAATAATTTGAATGTAAAAAACAAATATCTTTTTACAGGGGCTTTACCTATTATAAAATGAACAATTTGGACACTCGTATCGCGAATCCAGATCAAATGTTGACTACTGATATTGATAAGTTTTGTGATAGCTGTACTGATCTTTATAGCAACATAGCAAAACCATTGTTAGATATTGGTATCTATGTATATAAATTAACTTCTACTATTGGTGGGCAGGTATGTAACATAAATATTCTTATTATAATTTAATTCTAATTTATCTTATGATAGTATATAATAATATAATAATATATATAATATTATTTTATTGCAGACGCCATCAATAATACTTGGCTATCTAGTAATAGCCGGTACTTTTTTGACTCATCTTCGCAAACCTGTCGGAGCAATGACTGTCAAAGAACAACGATTGGAAGGGGAGTATCGTCATATCAATTCGAGATTAATTACCAACTCGGAGGAAATAGCCTTCTATGGAGGAAATAACAGAGAAAAATTGACATTGTTAACTAGTTTTTACAAACTTGTAAGTTATTTATTGTAAATTGCATTTATAAACATTTATTAGTATATTGTTAATTTTATTGTTAATTTCGCCTTTTTTCCTTTACAGACGACTCATCTTCGTAAATTCTTGGAATTCAGGGTTTTTATGGGCATCATAGATAACTTCGTTGGAAAATGTACAATTTGATTTATATAGTAATTAGTGCATAGTTAACAATATGCGCTATTTTGTTTTCAACTGTTATTTATGGTTTATAATATTATCATTGCCATTTATCTTTTTTCAGATTTTGCTACCGTAATTGGCTTCTATGCTGTAAGCGTACCCTTCTTCCAGAAAAATCATTCCGTGCTCTCTGGCACGCCCAATCATAGGTTTAAATCGTATTACATTTACGGTCGAATGCTGGTGAAGATGGCCGAGGCGGTCGGCCGATTGGTGTTGGCCGGCAGAGAACTGACGCGTTTGGCGGGATTCACGGCTCGTGTCATCGAGATCAAAAAGGTTCTCGACGATCTAAACGCTGGGAAATATGAGAGAACGATGATTTCTGATTACAAGAACAATGCAATCGGTAATCCAGGTGACGGCAAGATTGTGCCGCGCGATAACATCATACGATTCGATCAAGTACCATTGATAACTCCGAATGGAGATGTGCTTATTAAGGAATTGTCCTTCGAAGTAAAGTCTGGAGTGAATGTGTTGGTTTGCGGACCGAACGGTTGTGGCAAGAGCTCCATGTTTAGAATTCTTGGTGAAGTACGTACTCGTTATCTCTATTGTTCGTTTATCGTTCATTCTTATCGTACATCTTAATATATTTGTGAATTTATTCACAATAGTATCAATTAAATTGCGTTGTAATTTTCTTTCTAGATCATAATTGATATAAAAAATGATAAATTAGAAATTCTAGGAAATAGTGCTAAGTGCTAATTTTGGCAAAATCAGAATTATACCTATTGATTTTATTTTCGTAACTTTTAGCTGTGGCCAGTCTGGGCAGGAACTATTACAAAACCACCGCGCGGTAAACTATTCTACATACCACAACGTCCTTATATGACGTTGGGCACATTGAGAGATCAAGTCATTTACCCCCACACGAAAGCCGAGATGGAGAGACGCGGTAATGCTAATGACGAGGATCTTAAAAAGTTCTTGGAATTGGTGCAATTAACCCATCTATTAGAAAGAGAAAATACCACTAACAGTGAAGGACAAGGTTGGGATTCGGTGGCCGATTGGATGGATGTTTTATCGGGCGGCGAGAAACAACGTATAGCGGTGAGTTTCTCTCTTTTCTTATCCTTTTCTTTCGCCTTTTTTAAATCGACATTAATTATTTTTACTACACGTACGTAATGACTCGTTTTAATCTTTTGTTTATATCATACATATATAAAATTATTCTTCTGACTAAGTAAGGCGTTACACATCATATTTTATTATATGAATATTAACATCTCAAAATAGCTGTTTGTCAAGTATTTATATTTAAATTGTTTTTATTATGCAGATGGCTCGGTTATTTTATCACAAACCGCAATTTGCGATTCTGGATGAGTGCACGAGCGCTGTCAGTGTCGATGTCGAGGATTTCATGTACAGTTATTGTAGGCAAGAAAACATTACGTTGTTTACAGTCTCGCATCGTCGTTCTCTCTGGAAGCACCATGAGGTATTATTGAATTTTTTTCGATTAATTTTATATTTTCAAATAAATTTATATTTATCATACTTATTATTTATACTTGTCGTAACTTTTATATATAGTTTTTCATCATTGTTTAATACTTATTCACGTACTGTGTTTTCAGTACTTTTTACACATGGACGGTCGAGGAGGCTATGAATTCAAGCCGATCGAACATGATACAATAGAATTTGGATCGTGAATTTTTGCGTCCCTTGCACACGCGAGAACGCGTCTGCATGCAAGGGACATTTAATTTAGTTTATTCAATAACTTTAACATTAAACTAAATTTAAATAACCATGCAAAGATTAGTGATTATGTAGGTACTGATCATAGTGATTATTTATAGATTACATTTGTGAGTTAAATATATAACGTATAATTCTAACAAGGTTCACAGAATGTGAATATGATACAAATGATGCGATTATTTCTAGCGTGTCATTAATTCTTTCATGTAAGTATTTGAACTTGCAGTGCACAATGAAATATTTTTCTACCGAGTTTTTATGAAATATAGTAATATAATTCTGGAATGCAAATTGAAATATATGATATCGTTATATATATATATACATACACACGATCCTTAGATCTTTATGCAGTGTAATTTTGTATATATATTCCGTAATTTCCTGTGCATAGATTTCCAGTTAAAATTCGATAAATTATCAGTTAGTGGTTAATACATTTTTTATTTATGATAAATTATAGAAGCGAAAACTCCATATTATTCGCTAAATAAAAATTTGTGGAAATGTTCTATTGTATAATATATAAAAACGTAATTTGTAAATTCAAAATAAAATCTCGTCAGCTTATTAAGAGTTACATCAGAAAAAAAAAGAAAAAAATATATATATATTTTATATGATAGGATCTAATATAGAGTTTGTTCTCAAGACTACAATTATTAATAAATTGTTATAATTGTAAATTTTATATACATTATATATATATATATATATATATATATATATATATATATATAATAGATATATCAGGCCGGAAGATTATACGAGAATGCTATAACGAAGGAAGATTTTATTGTAGATCCAGAGCAAATTAAGATTGATGAGGTACAAAAAAAATAATGTAAGAAATTGTAATTGTGATTCTCATTAATATTTTTCACATCGCAATTGCAAACTTTTTTCTCTCTACTCCGTTTTAATACAAACTAGACAATATTATTCTTTCATTGACATATATAACACAAAAAATATTATTTTATACACTTTTATAATATATAGAGATAATTTGATACATTCTATGCAATAACCGTATTTATATAAGAATTAATTCTGAAATACTTCCTGTTACATTGAATTATTATACACTTGGAACTCTTTAAATATATTTTAAGAATAGTTTCAGAGTTTTCGAAGTCAAACTATTATTAGGGAAAATTGTTATGGAACTGATTATTAAATGCAAAGGTATTTTATAAAAAATAAAGTTTTTATAATTTAAACTTAAACGTGTAAATATTACCAATAATTGCCTTTTGGTTAAATTTGGATCTATCTTAATAAAAATTTTCAACACATACGATTTATCGAAAAATTTAATTTGAAAAATATAATATCAATACGTTCAATTTTTATTAATTTGCATAAATAGATTATTTTTTATATTATTGATTACGCCGGGATTATTTCAAACTTTAAAATGTTTTTTACAATGCTTGAGACTTTTTATATTGTTAAAAGAAAGATTTAGAGAATATAAAAAGAGAAAAAAAATATAATTAGAGGGAATAAAACAAAAGATCTTTATTAATATAAAAGATTTGTGTTCTTGCACATTTCTTTGCTTTTTTTACAGATATTTTATTAAAACACATAATACAAGATTCTTTCTCTAATATTTTACACTTCTAAGTTCAAACTTTATCCTAGCATCTATTATTGATAATGAAAGATGCGTATTCTTTTTTTTTATTTATAGATATCTGTCCTTCTCGAGATACAATACTAAAAAATGTTTTCCATTTTCTACTCTATTTTTTTTTGCACATTCTATTTTCAGGGAAACTTTTTAAAACTATCATATAGCTAATAATTGCATCATATTTAATGTTAATATTGTGATTAGATAAATGGAATATTGTGATTAGATAAATGGATTTTTTAATAAGCTCGAAATGAAATAAAAAGAATCAAATACAAAAGTTGAGTAAGAAAAAGAAGCGATATAAAAGAAAAAGATAAAAGTAGTAAACGCAGCGTCTAATCTGCAAGTACGATATATCGTGCAAATATAATTCAAACACACACGCACGCACATATATTATACATAATTAGGAAATATACAGGAAAGAGAAAAAGGAAGAGAATAAAACTCGAAAGAACGCGACCATTTCTCGTTCTCCCGATTTAAACGATACGGAGAGTTGGCGGTCGGCGACGATCCGCGATTCAAATAGTTCGCACCTCGGCTCGGCTCGAGTCGAGTCTCGTCGCGCGTCCTCGCGCGTGCGTCCGCTCGCGGTGGAACGGGTTCGGCGGCCGCCGGGTCTGGGAACCTAGCAGAAGCTCCGGGAGCTCCGGTTTTCCGTTCGCTAGTCGCAGGGTTCGACCGCTCGAGGACGGGTCGTGGTTCGTGCATACGTGGCGCGTGCGTGCGCGTGAGAAAGCCAGCGAAGGAGGGATACCAGCGCAGATACGAGGAGACTTTTTTGCAAGCGGAGAAGAAAAGGATAGACGCGAATAAAGACGAGGAGGGAGAGAGAGAGCGCGACGCGAGGGAAGGTGCGCTGCCGCTCGAAGGTGGGAGAGAGTCGTCGTCGCGCGGTATACGTGGTGCGTCGCGCAGTGTCATCGAGGAGGAAAGAAGAGCCAGTGATCAGTGTTTTTTCTCTCTCTCTCTCTCTCTCTCTTTCTCGAGAGAAGCGGATTTCGCGAGTACTCAATCGCTATCGATCGTAGAACGCGGACGCGTCAAGAACGCCGCGAAATCCGCCTTCCTCTCTCGGTATACACTCCTTTTCCTGCCTGCTGGCCTGCCTGCCTGCCTGCTAGTCTGCTGTCCCCCTCGCCCCCCCACCACCCCCTCCCCGCAGTTTCATTCGTTTCCTCTTGGCCGCGTGCGCGTTTCCGCGGCCACTGCCGCTGCCGCTCTCCTCGGGGTTGCCGGCTGCCTCCTTCGTCGACGCTTGGCTCGCGGGAAGGAGAAGACGCCGGGGAAGAGCACAGGTGCATGCATATAGACGACGGCAACGGCGACACGTAGGAGAGTCCGAGGTCCCGTCGCGAGCGGGGGAGGAGAGGGCGAGGAAGGAATCGACGGCGAGAAAAGGAAAGGGAGGAGAAGAAGAAGGAGGAGAAGGCGGCAGCAGCAGCAGCAGCGGACGGAACAGTCGTCACGCATACGCGGAACGATCGCCGTTCTCTCGGTTCCGCTCGCGCGTAGTTGGTGCAAGTTGATCGTCATCGACGTAGAGTTGTCGGTGACAGGATGGACGACACCGCGGGCCCGCCGCGAACCGCGGACGTAGCGGCGATGGGGGGCGAGAGCGACGAGGCCGCCTCCTCCTCGAAGATGCGGACGCTCGACGACGAGTCGAGTGCCGCCCCCGCCGCCGTCCCCCCCGGTGACGCGGCCGCCGCCGCAGCCGTAGCCGCAGTCCCCGATAACGTCGAGTGTCGGGACCGGGGCTCGATAAGAGCCGCGTCCCCGGGGCCGCGCGCCGTTGCCGCGACCACCTCTTGTCCGACGACGATGACGACGACGACGACGCCGCAGCCGCCGCCGCAGCTGCCGGCCCCGCAACCGGGGTGTGGCTGCGTCGCCGCCGCCGACAGGGACGAGATCACCGTGTGCATCACGCCGACGACCGGCGGCCAGTTCGAGCTCACGGTGGATCGCAACGATACCGTGGAGAGCCTCAAGAAGATTATCTCCAAGAAGCTGAAGGTCGCCAAGGAGCGCATCTGCTTGCTGCACCGCGAGAGGTGAGTCCTTTTCTCTCGAGAGAGCCTCTTCTCAGAGAGACTCGATCTCTTCTCCCCCTTTTTTCTTCTTCCTTTCTTCTTCCGTCCTCTTTATCTCTCTCGCGAGGAGTAGGATCGAAACCGGTGTAATTTCGGTCGGCCTGGACTTCCCAGAATCGCGCGGACTACGAGACGACGGTCCACGTCTTTGTGTTTTATCGCGGAGAGATGTCTCGAAATCGGCTTCTCGCGTATTTTTGTCTTCTTGGGATTTCAAATCGCTGAAATTACCGCGTTTTCTATTTCTAGAGAAGCAGCTACGGATCGATTCTTTTTTTTTTCTGTTACGTTGATCTGTGTTTAAAGGGAGATGAACGAAAAGGGATGATCGAAGAAGCAACATTGATACAAAGATTCACATGTAATTGTAGAAAAAAATCGTGATTCTTTTTACTTTATTTTCTTTTATTACACATTACATCATAAATGTGCTTACAAGTGCTCGGTGAGAAAAGACAAAAATTATGAGAGATATTAAAGAAAAAAAAATATACGTGATTTATAAAAAAATATCTCGAACGTACTCTTAAAGTTCCAGTTGCATCTTTTCATTCTTATTCTTAAATGGAGACAATTATATTCCGACAACAATCATATTCCTACAGAAATATATATAAGAAATACATTTCTTAGTCTCCATTGATTCTTAGAATTCTTAGAATTCGGCTGAAAGACAGATCTATTGTGACAGCTCCTCCTCTCGTTCCCCCCCATTTTGTCGCGGCGAGAAAAAAAAAACGGACAAGGAAACGGAAATGCAAAGTCTATTCTTCCCAACTACCCTTCGCCAGATTCTTCGCGGAGCGGGACAAGAGACAGATGCAGACGCGTGGACAGATCGAGAGAGTAGAAAAATGCAAAAAGCGTATAAACGAATTAGGAGGAACTCGTCCCGCAATAGCTCGGCTCCGAAACATTCTCGCGATAACTCGCGATGTTTGTCGCGATGACGTTTCGCCGCCGCCGCGTCGCGTTGAATCGTTCCCGGTTATCTCCAAGACGTCGCAGAGAGAGTGAGAGAGACAGAGAGACGCGGTGGAAGAGCGTCGCGACGCGCGTCTCGCTCACGCGTACACGTCACTCGCGTCGCTTCTATTTTTCTCACGAGCGACGTGCGTTCGAATCGGACCTCGCCCCATGCTCCGTCGGCTCCGCAAAGAAAGAAGAGAAAGAGTAATAGCGGAGAAGGGGACGAAGAGAGAGACTGGCTGGGCGAAGGGGGAAGGTGGAGACGAGGGGAGGCAGAATAGAGACGACCCGGGTAGAGAGCGAACGTGTACAGGCTCGTCCTTCGTGCCGGTGCACTTTTGGACATGCGTTGGTGAGAAGAGAGAGAGAAAGAGAGACGGAGAAAGAAAGAAAAACGGTGTATATATAGCCAGATGTATAGGCCGTTTCAGAAGTAGAGATACTAGTTTGTGCTGCAGAGAAAAATGTCTATTTAAATTCTACTGTCAAAAAAATGTTATTCTACTGTCAAGAAAAGCGATTACTCAATTTATTTTTCTTTTTTCAAGTAATAGTTTTCTTCAACGAATATATTATTGATAATAGTCTTAAAATATACTCATCACAAGTGTTGAAAATCTCATTATCATGGACTCGAAAGAAGAATTTATTTTCTCTTCAAGAATATTGTAAAGTTGTATCAAAAAAAAATCAAACTTTTCGCCAATTTTATATAATAAGCAAACCAAATTTTTGTTTTAATTTAATATCCTTGACTAAAATACTGCACTTACTAAAATTCAGAATGCATTCAATGAAATTTAATGCTTGTGGTGAACTTGTGATATATTTGTGGATAAACAAACTTATGATACACTTCAAATAAATAATATTTACTTGAATACAGTATACATTTTTCTCTGTGTGAGAAAACTATCAGGTGTAACAAATATATATATATATATATATATATATATATATATATATATATAAACAAAGAGGCGCGTTGATAAAGATTAGATTCGAGGAGGAAATAATTTCTCATTAATCGTTAATCAGTAAATTGAAATTGTTTGTAATCTTATCAGTGTTATCACTCGAAATGTTGTTAAAGCTTGACATTTTTGCAATAATAATTGTGTGGTTTCTTTATCACTACCGTATCTCGTGATGCTTGTATATTTTCAGATTCGAACATAATTATAATTGTCAAAGTATTCGAAATGAAACACACATATTCTTCCTATATTTTTTTATTCATGAATAAGAATAGAAGTAATTATTGCATTTATTTTATTAATTTTGCAAATGTCTCTCCTTTTCCAAATTTCTAATATTCTTCCTTGATTCTATCTGCTTGAAATATTTTATCAATAATACTTGACACGTGTGTATCTAGAACGCAATGAATAACTTTATTTTAAAATTTACATAAATTTCAAAAGACTCAAGATTCACAGAAGGAAAATTTTAGAGAATTAAACACGCGTAAAAAAAATCATACTCTATTCTAATATTTAATTTCTCTTTTCGACGTACTCATATTTCCCGTTTATACACTTCCACATTTTCTTTAAAGCGATATCGATTTTAAAAAATTCGAGGAATAATAAAGTTCGACGTGGCTTAAAATAAGATACCGCGAATTTTTCCCGATGAAAGGACGAGTGTTGGAGCCTTTCCCCGATCTCCTCGTCGGGTATAATGATAACCCCGGTATCGTTCCCCTCCGAAGTATCGACCTATCCCCCTGAAACCGCCTGTATACGTGGGGTCTCGTGGGCGTCCGTGGGGGCCGCCGAGCGCGGATCCATCCACCTCCACTAAACCACCTCCCGCCGCTTGGTGCGAGCACGCGAGAGAAATATGGTGGAGCGGAAGGTTGGCATACCGCGGTGAGAGTAGTTGTGAGAGGTGGGGTGGGACGAGGTGGCGGAGGTGGCGTGTAGTAGTATAGTAGGTAGAGAATATCCTCGGGAAATCGCGCTCCCGTAAAGTGGAACAGTGACAGCCGTCTGCGGTAGTGGATAGAACGAGAGAGAGAGAGGGAGGGAGAGAGAGAAAGAGAGACACCCGAAAGAGGCGGCGAAAGAATGCGAGACAGAGAAAGGAATCTATTTATTATTCGGAGTAAGCTGCATCGGGAAGAATGAGTATGACTAAGGAAATATCGTGGACGAAAAAAGACTCGCGTTACAAAGAGAGCGCATACAGATGTGCATACGTGTAAAATTGATCGAGCAACGTAAGATAATGAGATAATAATAGAATACCGCGGTAACTTTTATATAGAAGTCATACGAGGAAAAAGTATACAATGGATCGTGCATGCTGATGTAAAAAATAGACGTATAAAAATAATGAAAAAGCAGGTCGCGATTCTCGCGATTATTTTTTAATTGCTCCGGCACTTGAGAAATTTCTATACCATTAGTTTTAGCGAATCACGAACAACGAATAATCGTGTGCTTTTTTAATAACGATACAATCTTCTAACGACCAATTAAAATAATGCTAACGGTATAAACACGTATGTTATAAATGTATATGTAATCGATATCCCTACCGTTACATCACCAGTTGGCTCCAATCATTGAAGCGGATATTAAAAAACATCGCAATGAAAAGTAAGACACGAGGAGAGAGTTGGAGAGAAATGTCAAAAATTCGGCTGTATATATAATATATATTTCTATGGTTCGTAAAGAAAAATATCATTTTGTACTTTGCCAAAAAAAGCGATTACTCAATTTATTTTCCTTTTTTCAAATAATAGTTTTCTTCAACAACGAATATATTCTTGATAATAGTCTTAAAATATACTCATCAAAAGTGTTGGAAAATCTCATTATCACGGACTCGAAAGAAGAATTTATTTTCTCTTCAAGAATATTGTACAGTTGTATAAAAAAAAAATCAAACTTACTTTACGTCAATTTTATATAGTAAGCAAAAAAAGTCAAATTTTTATTTTAATTTCTTGATTAAAACACTGCACTTACTAAAATTCAGAATACATATATTCAATTAAATTTAACGCTTGTGGTGAACTTGTGATATATTTGCGGATATACAAACTTATGATATACTTCAAATAAATAATATTTACTTGAATAAAATATACATTTTTCTCCGTGTTCTTTCATTCTTTCTCGCTTGCTTGCTTTCGAGTCCTCGATGCTTTTTCCTCTGCCTCGTCTCTTACGTGTCTCGTTCGGGCGTAATTCCTTCGAGATATATATATATATTTCTCTCTCTCTTTCTCTGGCTCCTTGTGCTCCTTTTCTTTCCTTCCCTCTCTTCTCTCCTTCCTTCGTCGTACCTTGATCTCTCTCCGTGTCATGATACTCGCCATCGCTCGATTCTTTGTGCCTGCTGGGGCAGTTTCAGGTGCAGGTAGCACTCCGGATCTTTTTCCTCCTCCAAACAACGAGACGTACGTGTGTGCGTGTCCTCGCGACGACGATGTAGGCAGCTGCGCGTGTGTCAGTTTGGCTGCATCATGACTATAGCGTGTCCGCCACGTTCGTCTTCGCCAGCGAGAAATATTTTTAATAAACATATTTAAAAAGGTGAATCTAAAAATGTTAAAAAAACGCGATTCTCGAGTCTTAAGAGGTATAAATGTGCACGCTAGACTGACCGAGAAATGTTTTACGTCGAGGAATTGACCTTGACAGAGTCGCAGCAAATTTCGCGATACGGCTGATTTGTTACACCATGTACTCTGTTATTACGCTATATAAAGATTGGAAGATCGAGAGAATTAAATGTAAAATGCTTTTCTTGAGATATTTTCGTTCTTTCCGCAGACAAATATCGTAAAAGTGATTAATGAAGCTTGCATGACGGAATAGAATAAAGTTGATTTTTATTGGATGAATGTAATTATATTTTCTAGCGTGTTTTCTAGAGTTATCTTATAACTCTTTTTACGTTGCGTCATCATTACGCAAGATGGAGGTAAAATTAGAAGATTAATGGACAAACGGAAATATCACAAAGGAGTAATC